TGAAAGGCACGAAAGCCAATCTACATCCTCAGGTTTAAGAAGATTGAACAGGGGCAGCTGTTGTACCCCAAAATTTTCCCTCCCATATTTCTCAAAACATTGCAAGAAAAATCTCCAAGTTGCTCAAGGATTGACCAGACAAGCTATCTCCTAAGGCAGTCTACCCCAAATTAGGGTTTCACATTGCATCAAGATCCTTGAGTCCAAGTGACCCCAAGTTCTCACCAATGTAATAATATGTTCTCAAGATCATCCATGTCAAGTTTCAAGCCTTGCAGAGGAAGTTTTCTTAGTCAATTGCTCAAAAGGTCCAAAAATCGACTGTGCTAGGGCAAAAGTCAACTGTGACCTACAAACAGTCAAACTTCAAGATTTTTTGTCAACATTCTCATTTTGAAGGATATTTCATCATTTGATCAAGGGTTGATCATGATTCATCAAGGATTTCTCAAAATTCATCAAGATTCAAAAGTTGCTAAATTAGGGTTTTGTAGGAAAAGTCAACTCAAATTTGACCAAGCATAACTTTCTCATAATTTATGAGAAATGACCCATCCAAATCTCATTTTGAATAGGATGCAATTCCCTACAATCCATCTTCATATACCAAGATCATAAAATTCACTCACAAGAAGTTATGAATTTGGACATTATAGGTCATTTTGAAAAGTCAACAAAAACAACTTTTTTGTCAAAGCTTATAACTCGAGAATGGAATATCAAAATGATATGATACCAAAAGGGTTGGTTATAGGACATCTCAATATTTCTAAAAAGTCAAAGAACACCTCCAAAAGTTCAAAATTGAAGAAGTTATGCATTGTTGAAGTTGGACTTTTTTGCGAAATTGCCAAAAGTCAACTATCCCCAAAACTTCAAATTTTGCCAAATGGGCCCATTATTTTTCACTTGATTTGAGTTTGCATTATTTCCCACGTGCCCTAGCTCCATCCATGTGTCCATACCACATTTTTATTATTTAATTTGATTTTTATTTGAATTAATTCATTTTAAATCAAATAAAATCACATAAAATCTAAAGTATTGATAACACATGATTTTTTGGCTATTTCAGGCTCCAAATAAAGCTATCATGGCAATTGAATTCATATCAAGGTCTTTATGCACAAGAATATATGATTTGGATCAAGTTTGGAAAGGTTTTAATGGAAGATCAAATCAAATATGCAATCATCAATATGGAGAGATTTGGACCAAGTTTTTCACCCTAATCCAATGCACAATACATAAGCAAGCAAGAGGCACGAAAATCAGGGTTAGACATCACTTGTAGAAGCAGAATAAAAACTTGCAAAATCACAAAAAAGTGGGAGATCAAAATCAAGGTTAGAGACGTTTTCAGGGCTCGAGACTTGTCCCAATCGATTCCTGGCAACACACACAAGCTATCCCAATCCATACCAAGCATTCTCAGGCCATCATACGCACTGTAAGTCTCACGCAAGTTAACCCCGTTCTTGAATTCGATTTGAGTTATTCTGGCATCATTTGAGTAAACTAATAGCATATTTGTGATCACAAGAACATTTGCAAACCTTTGGCATCATTTAATTTCATTTATCTAACCTATATTGCAAACCACCATAGTTAGGGTTTCTTGGATCTTTTTGGGGTTTTTTGTTTCAGGAAAAATTGGTCCATATGAAGGACATGGTTGTGATCAGAAGGTCATGACGAGTTCAACCATGTTCTTGGATTGTGTTTATATGGCCTGAGGATGATTTTAGGATGAAGCTGTGTCCTTTGCTGAGGATAAAAATTCGCAGGTAATGTTACAATATTGGGAGGACAGGGACGAAGAGCTGTCACTCGTCCATTGGACCATTCAAACGATAACACACATTTTTTTTTGTTTTTTCTGGCATTTGATTTGTTTTTTATATAATGTATTATTTGTATTATTATTAACAAACAACAACGTGCTTCAGTGGTTGCCACATAAGCCATTAAGGCATTCCAAGGCTGGAGGTCAGGGGTTCGATGCCTGCCTCCAGCATATTGCCTTTTCTAAATTATTTTCAGGAGATCTAGTGCGTGTTCAAGCCAAGGGATCACCATGCTCCCTCACTCTTCAGCATGCCAGATGGCCAATGGCCAGATCTGATGGTAAGTGATTGGAGGTCCACCAAAGAGCCAGTCAACATGCCTACACTAGATCCAAAAAGTCCACATGGGTCAGCAATCATTTGGGCCAACGAATTGCTTTCAATATCCCCCAAAATCAGGCCCACTCTCTCTTTTCTTGATAATTTGTTTATTTATTTAATTACTTTAATTTTGTTTAATTTATTTCTAACCAATAAAAAAATTCCTTTTTATCAAATAAAATCACAAAAATACTTTTTTTATCCAATCAAATTTTAAACTTTTATTTTTATTAATAAACTTATTATTTAATTAGGATATTAATTAGGAAACTTTAATTTATTTTGTAAATATTTAAAATTAATTAGACTTAATTAGGTTTTAAATACTAATTTAATTATTTTATTTTCTTTCTTAAATTAACAAAAACCCAAAAATATGTCATAAATTATTTTTCATTAATTAATTAATTTAATTTTAATTTAGTATTTAATTTAGGATTAATTTCTTTTCTTAAAAAAAAACAACAAAAAAAAGCACTTTATTTCAAAAGGGTCAAAACCCTAATTCGCGTTCGATTTAACTTCGCGTCGCGCTTTATTTATTTTTATCCATATTTATGTATCTGCTTCCGGTATGTAATAGATAATTAGGAAATTTTATTTATTATATCACATTATTTTATTTTCAAAGGGTTGCTTTTGGCGATGTAAATACCCGACGCCTTGTAATTTAATTTTTGCACCTTTAATTTTCTGCAAATTATAACTGTTAGATGTTTGATAATAGGGTTTGCATGACAAGACTGAATGCTTAAACTAAAATCAAATTAGACCACCCTTAACATGTGCAAAGATAAAAAATAACTGAAATCAACACACTCGCACATGCGCACTCTTAGGGTACACCCCACTTGGTTGCCTTCATACACGGTCATTGAGTATAGGTCGCTTTAGAGGTCGCCCTCTTGTCTAAAAGATCATAGTCACCTCGAAACGGTTGCCTCGGATCTTGTTGCCTTAAACAAATGATCTAAGACTTTAGGGTTACCGCTAAGGCGTCCTAACATTGCTTTAGTGACTGTCTGTCCCTCATTCGAATTGACCCTCAAACTCCAACAACGGTGCTCCTACTCATCAATAGTCGGATAGCATTGTCTAAAGGAAATTAGCATAGAACGATTCCTTTTTCGAGTAGGTAGATAGTTTTTAGATACTTGCTCATTTAAAACAAAACAAATTTTTCACACTTACACTTTTCGAACAAAGTTTTCAAAACACTTCATTACACTCTTGAGGACAGAAGCAAGAGTTAAATCGAAGTTTCAAATAAAAACTTTTTCAAACCCACAAGCACAAAGAAAACAATTTTGAAAACAATTGAGCAAGTACCTAATAGCCCGTAGATAACTACGGATAGAAAGGGTGCTAATACCTTCCCTTTCTATAATCTACCCCCCGAACCCGATAAATATCTCGAAAAAGGAATTTTTCTGTGCTTTATTCCTTTCCTTGTTAGATAAAATAAAAGTCGGTGACGACTCTTGCTTACCGCGACATTTTGCGAAAACAAACCCAAAACGTAAACCAACATGCCAAAAAACAGTCAATTCTTCCCACCGTATCACACGCACCAATGCCGAATCATGGCAAAGGTATTAACGCAATTGATGATACTACTTCTCATACCCCAAATTTTGACCTAAGATCCCATCTTCATTTGCATTGTTTTATATATACATCAAGGTCACGAAACATGGTCGGTTTCAAACGTTTCACCTTCGATCTTTGACCGTGCAGAGATTATCGAGTATTGTGAGCATTTTATCTTATGAATGACTAACCACTAATCAAGCATGAAGTGTATGCTTTGTTTTTTTTATTTCATGTGCAGGAAATAGGTCTGAAAGAAGAGCATCAAATGTCACGCCTCAATTAGGGTTTCGAGTCTCAGAATAGAAATGTAGTCGATCGTTGATTCTCAAACACTGGTTCATCAAAAGAACTTTCAGAGAATCGTGTGTTTATTTCCATGCTATGTCTATCAAATGGCCTCAAGTGTCTCTGAAATTCTTCAGAAAGAACGGTCAAAATTCTACTTCCATTGGTTCATGTGTTTCACATTGCCTTGAAATACAAGAAAAATCAAGCTATGCAATTCAATTCCAACCACTTCGACCAAAAGTCATCTGCAAGTTTTCTCATGACGCGGTGTGAATTTCGTTAAAACGGGATGATTAAATTTAAGACCGTTCTGGAAGAATTTAGTCAGAATACTTGAAATTTTCTTTATTTGAATTCAAGTGTTAATTAAATAGAAGCCACCAAGAGATCTCATTCAAGAATAATCGTTCATTGCATTATATATTTATTCAAGATTATTTTGTGTGATTATTTTGGTGGGTTTACTTCATGACCATTTGAATTCACAAGAAGCATTTATTCAAGAAGATGTTGGAAAAAGAAATTCGATTCAAATAATCATTCATCACAAGATTAATTACATGATGCTTGCTATTTTTATTACAAGATCAATTCATGGGATTTATTTGGATTTCTATTACAAAATGAAAGATTGAAGTCTTAAGACTTGCATTATTATTTATTCGTAATTCAACAATTCATCCAAGTATTATTCAATTATTTCCCAAATTCAAATGGAAGACTTGAAATTTTATCAAGACATATCAAGATTCAAATTTGTTTATAATTACAAGGGAATTGAGATTTATATTGAAGAATAAATACCCATTCATGTTACAATTTATTTGGATTATTATTACAAAGTTACAAAAGAAATTAAAGTTTGTACATGAAAATCAAGTTATTATTTCTTGCTCCAATAGCAGCCCCAATGCTGCCCATTTTTCCAGCACTATTTTAATACAATAACAGTCACATTCTTGGGTATTTTTCTGTCCAAAAACAGCAGTAGAAAATAGTCTCAATGCTGTTCATTTTCTCCAACATTGTTTCAACACAAACCAGTCCATTTTTGTGATATTTTGCTGTCAAAAGAAATGCAGCATATCAGTCCTAATCTACCCTGCAAAGACAGTCCAAAATGCAGTCCATAAGACAAAAAACCCGCACCTTTGCTGCTACAAAACCTGTTCAAAAAACAGTCTATAAAACGCCAAACATTGCACTAAAATGCACACATCAAAAAGCTGTCTCATAAAACATCAAAACAGAGCCCAAAATAGTTCAAATCTCTACTATTCCCCCCCCCTAAAACCCCACATATTTCACTATAAATAAAGGCCTCTATCAACAGAAAAAGGAGAAAAACTTGTTCAAGAATCACACTAAGAATCAGAAGAGGAACCTTAAGAGAAGAAAAACTCCAGGAAGAAAAATCAGAAAATACATACAGAGAGAAAAATTCAGAGGGAACCACACTAAAAGCTCAGCAAGTGAACAACAAAAAAATTCACACATAGATAATTCAAAGGAGAAGAACAACAAAAACTCAGTAGGGAAGAAAATCAGAAAACACATACAAAGAAAATTTAGCAGGAAAACACAGAATTCAAAGAGAGAAAAAACAGAAAAGAGAGAACTTACTTTTTTTGAAGCTCCATCGGAGAGGCTCCGATAGGTATTTTCTTCCTCTCTATTACTTCTGCACAACTCTTTCACATGTACATCCATGTTTTCTAGATTTACTTGCCTGATAATTGTATGCTTGAATCACTATTTTGCAACCTCTTATAATAAAAACAGAAATTTGCTACATATATGTTACAACATATTAACATAACTAGAAAACTAGAGGCTGTGTTTTAAAGATGTCTAACCTGTTAACAAGATGCCTAACCTGTTAACAAATTTTCTCTAAAAAATTTGCTCAAACTCTGTTAAACAAAACCTTAGAACCTGCATAACTAAACTAAACCATTAACCTGTTTATGTTAAACCAAAACTCTAACCTGTTAAAACACCACTAAACAGATCCTATAGAGAATATATGCATAAACCTCATAAACTCCCAGCTTTGCAAAACATCCAGGCAGCTCTTACAAAAGCCAGTTTGAGTACTCGAGTCAAAGTTACCATCCCATTAAACGCGGATGTGTATGAAGCTCAACAAATAACCCATCCGACGGTGATTTCAGGTCGATTATCAACAACCTCATAATGTAGATAGTCATGTTCTTGAATGACAACAGACCTCCTTTTACCATTAACATTTATCCTTTTATCGTTCTCTACTTGGATCCTAACTTCCCCGTCGATTATGTTTTTTTTCCAATGGCTTTTAATCTGCTAAATTGCAGTGGAATCTCATATCCAAACCGCTACAGAAAATCACATTAGTAACCACGTTAATAGCAACCCTGTAATATCCAAATTAGGAATTGAAGCGAAAACAGAAAATGAAAACATTTACCTTTCTATTCTTAACCTGCTATCATCTGCACACCTCTACTTCCCTTTCATCGACAACTATAATCGTTCATCAACCGACGCTATTACAACTTTCCCGATAAGAAACTTCTTGCGACGAAACCCTAGCTTCCAAACAACCTTTAACGCCACTTGAAATTATTGACGAAAATGGCTTCGAGATTTCGTACCCAGGCTTGTAATGTTTTTGAAGATGAAGAGAGTGATTACAGTGATGAAGTTGAAGAAACAGCAGGTGAATCTGGTCCTGATCGTGCTAAAACTAATTACTACCTTTAAGGTAATTCTAGCGACAACGATGACTCTGATGGCCTAAAAGCGTGTTGTTAGATCGGAAAAAGATAAAAGATTTGAAGAGTTAGTTTCCACTGATTGATCAGATGAAGAATGCAAAAAAGATTGATGTTTGGGTGAGTTTGCAGGAGAGTTTTGACAAGATTAACAAACAGCTTGAGAAAGTCATACGTGTGGCAGATATTCATAAGGTTCCTAGTCTTCATATTAAGGATCTTGTTATGTTGGACGATTTCTTGGCTCAGGATTTGGCGAATAAGGATGCTAAGAAGAAGATGAGTAATAGTAAGGCGAAAGCTTTGACCTGATGAAACAAAAAAATTGAAGAAGAATAATAAGCAATTTGAGGAGCGGAATTGTTGTTGTCATTTTATGTTTTTTCCGTTCCCAATAACAATTAGTGGCTATAACATTTCCTTTTCCAATGACAACAGACCAACATACGACGCCTCTCTAATCGTGTTAGGGTTACAATCTTTCCCTATTCTTTCCCAATCGGGTCAAACTCTTTGGGCCTATTGGCCCAATCACTCAACCACGTTCCCTTATTTATCAATTATGTCATATTAATAAATGAATAACATCCTAGTACAATTGGCAAAGCATATTACTTATAACCTAAAAAGGTTGAGTTCGATCCTTGGAGGGGGCATTTTTCTATTTTTGTTTGCTCTTTTTCTTTTTCTTTCAATTCTATTAAAACTTAATTATATATAGTTTAGTTTATTACATAATTGTTATTTAATTACAAAACATAAAAAATATGTTATTATAAATTTATCTTTTATTTAATTTTTGTCAACATGGTATTAATCTTTTATTTAATTTTTGCTGTTTATTTAATTATTCAAATATATGCTTCTATTTAATTTTTGTTGTTTATTTAATTATTCAAATATATGTTTTTATTGAATTTTTGCTGTTTATTTAATTATTCAAAAATGCACCCTAGTATAAATTAGTCTTCTATTTAATCTTTGGTTATTTAATTGCTCAATTGTCATTAACTTTATTCTCGATCATTTAATCTTTATATCTTCCGTTCATCTCCAATCTAAGGGAAATATTTTGTTAACTCCATAAGTAATACGATCGTGCGAATATCCTCATTCATTTTTGTTTGTTTACTATTTTGCTAAACTTAAGATAATTTTCCTAAAAAACTCAATTTTCAAAATCACACATTTTAAGTCAAAAACTTCGACACTAGGTCGTCGTATCTTCAAAATATCGTCCAAGCAAATCATTTTTAACCAACCCAACCATTTTTAGCCGAACGAACTATTTTAATCAAACGGATAATTTTATACCAAAAAACAGATATTACAAAAGGTTCCTGCAGAGTACCGCAGATGCATTGGGTGCTAATACCTTCCCATTGCATAACCAACCCCCGAACTCTAGATCTCTTTTCAAAAACACATTGTATTTTCATTACTTTTTAGTACTATTTTACATTGCATATTTAAGGGTTTTATTTCGCTCTTTTCCCTTTTCCCTTGGAAATAATAAAGCGCGGTGGCGACTCTTGCTTTTGTGAGACAAGTTAATTAATAGCTCGATCTCCGATTTACCCCGCTACATTTTTTATCGCTACACTACTTTCGTCTCTTCCATTGAAGATTTAAAAACTCCGTTAACTATTGTGAAGGTTAAATTGCTGAGAGCTGGGGTGTTCCCTGGATGTTCTAAAGATTGTGACTGTTGTGATCAACAAGTGAATAGGTGCAAGAGTTTGAAGGAAGGTGTGCAACACCTGATAAATAGTCGCGAGATTCTGTTTGAAAAGATTCCTGCCATCAAGAGTTTGACAAACAAGACTGAAGACCTGTCCATAATAACAATTTCCAATATGCCTTTTAGGATCCCCTCAAAGGGTCCTATTAGAATTTCAAATGAACCGACCATCACTCCTTTAATAACCGTTTCCGCTGGGCCTATCCCCTACTCCTCTGACAAAGAAATTCCATGTAACCCTTTACCCATCTTAGCCTTTTAGGTGTAGCGCGGAGACTATAACAGAGTAATCCAGAAGTAGTTGTTACGCGATGCTACACTCAGACGAGTTTCTCTTGAGAATATTACTAATTATCGAGTAATCGAGACTTTGGTAATATCTGAAGGAAGGATGTAGACTCTGGGAACTTTTAGAACCTCGTTTTACAGGTGTGATTAAACCTTTAGTACATACCTTGGGGGTGGGCTTTACCTTTGACTCCATGCTTGAAGCATTGAACCTTTGAACCCCATATTTGTGAACTTATGTGTAATTGTTGCATTATCATTCATTCATACATCCATAAGCATTTTTGTAAACATGTTTTTCAAGGAACTTAAAAATGATTTTTGCAGACATCTCAGGTACTGTTACTATAGATTTTGGAAAAAGAAACACTCGGAGTTATAGTTTCAAGGAGCCTGAGATTGAAGAGTTGAAGAGTTTGATTCCCAAGATTGAGAACCCTACGGAGTCTCAAAAGAAATATGGATCCATTATCCCTCTCATGAAGCGCAAGATAAAGGAAGGCATCCTTAGTACGTTGGTCCAATTCTATAATCTATTGTATCGATGTTTCACTTTTCCTGATTATCAGTTAATGCCCACTTTAGAAGAGTATTCCTATATACTTGGTTTTCCAATCACCGACTGTGTCCCTTTCTCTGGTTTAGAAGGGGAACCTAAATCTCACGAGATAGCAACAATCACCCACTTGAGGAGGTCTGAGATAGAAGAGAACATGACTACTAAGGGGGGAATCTCAGGCTTACCTGCACAGTTTTTGTTTAATAAAGCTCGTTACTTCGCTGAGATAAAGGATAATGTCGCCTTTGAAGATGTCTTTGCCTTACTTGCTTATGGATTGTTCTTGTTCCCTAACATCGATAAGTTCGTGGATATCAACGCCATTAAAATCTTCTTGATTGGAAATCCAGTCCCTATGCTGCTAGGAGATACCTTCTATTCCATCCATCTTCGGAACTCCTATCAAGGTGGGATGATTATCTGTTGTGTACCATTGTTATACCAGTGGTATGTTTCTCATTTACCCGGGTCTGATGTTTTTTGGGATCTTAAGAAGGAGCCACGATGGGCACCAAGAATTATGGCTCTTACTCATTCCGACATAGATTTGTATAATCGAGCTTATTATGACGTGAAGATCATTGATAGTTGTGGTGTTTTTCCCAACGTGCCTCTTCTTGGCACGAGGGGAGGAATTAACTATAATCTTGTTCTTGTGCGTCGCCAGTTTAGATACCCAATGAAGGACAAGCCGAATAACATTCATTTGAGTGGTTTCTTTCTACAAGAAGGAAAAGATCACAAAGCAGCTAAAAAGGAGATTTAAAAGGCTTGGTGCCATATCCATAGAAAGGGGAGAGACGTGTTAGGGAATATAGGTGTTGTTTCTTTGGAGCCTTACCTTCAGTGGGTTTGTGCTAGGGCTTGTGCTCTCAAGATGCCTTATAATCCTGAGAAACCTTTATTCCTTGTTGCTACATCATTATCTACTACTATTCCTATTGAGAACATGAGAGAGTATCAGGAAAATCTGGCTAGAGTGAAGTCTGAAAGAGATTCTTGGAAGGAAAAGTATAGTATGTCCGAATACGAAAATAGGGTCCTGAATCGAAAGCTGAAGGAGAAGGGGGATATGCTATTTATTTAAGATGGTTGATTTATTGATCATGATGAGAAGCTTCGTCAAAAGGATGCATTACTCAGGAAGTATGCTAAGGAAAGGAAGAGAAAGAAGGAAGATTTGGTAGGCGTTACTCCTGTTCCTAATCCATGGAAGGAAGTTGTTGATCAAATGGTAGCCGAGAAGAAAGAGATGGAATATTTCTATAAAGAGAAGATTAGGAAGCTCAAGTTACAAGTAGAATTTGGTCCTTCATCTGGTGATGATTCTGAGTGATCTTTAGTTCCTAGTTTTTTATTACTTATG